AGAGAACGAGTGCCTGTAAAACATCTAACTTCACTGATATATCTGCACCAAAACTCCTGTGCCCAAATAAAGCGCAGGGGACATTTTGGAAGGTGAGGGGCTGGAAAGATTGTAAGAGCCAGAGGACCAGGAATGCTGCTGTGGGATTGTGTCTCCTAGGAATGACAGGGAAGTGTCACCACCTCAACAAGATGGCTGTCTACACAAGACCTGAAGAAGCAGAACATCAATAGCCATGGAAACCTAGAAGGAGGAAGTCTCACATCACCCCATCCATAGATGAGGAACTGCAGGCAACTGAGAGATGCTGAGAGTGAAATAGTCTTCCCCAGGGAAGAGGCCATGGTTTGGGGAGGGAGCCTGGAGGAGTACATGGGAGTGGTTGGAAAGAGGAAAGGGAATGGGAAAATGGTGTGTGTGTGTGTGTGTTTCATGTATATGAGTTCTCCATATGCCAGAGAGCATCAGATCCCACTGTAGATGGTTTGAGAGCCACCATGTGGTTGCTGGGAATTGAACTCAGGACCTCTGGAAGAGCAGCCTGTGCTCTTAACCTCTGAGCCATCTTTCCAGCCCTGATGCAATTATATTTTAATTAAAGAAACTCATTTAAAAGTTCCTGGCACATAACAGCTACTCAGTAGAACATAGTAGACACTTCACAATGATAAACATATGAGGCCCAGGCTGACAAAGTTTGGTTCTATGTTTTGTTAGCTTGTTATCTTGTACAAGTAAGGTTACCTCATTGGTAAGTGGGTGTGTGTGGGGGGGTGATAGACGTACACGCATCCTAGGCAGGTAATACATTCAAAGTGCTATGAATGTATGTAGGGTATATTGTGTGGGAAATAAGATTCTGGGACACAATATAGACTGATGAATGTTTATTTGGGAAGAAATCACTTACACCAGAGAAGCAGATGACCACCGCGGTTTCCCACTACAAGGATGCCTCTGGATGCTCTCTGTCTCCGACCAGGAAGTAAGAGCATGAGCTGGGGTCCAGGACCCCAGACCTAGACCCCACAGGTCACATCTGCACCTGTCTCCACGCCACAATGGGCGTGGTCAGTGCAACAGGTATTGGTGGGGTGGATATCTCACTACAAAAGTATAACAAAGATTAATTATTTTGTTATTATTCCTTTCAGCTTTTGGAGACTGCAACCTTTTAAAGTCCTGTATTAAAATCAGGGAGAAACTTCAAGTGAGTTTCACTCCAGTCAGACTCAAGAGACAGTCAGCAGGTCAGAGTGCTGAGTGCTCTCCCTAAGGACTCAGGTTTCATTCCCAGTGCCAACACCAGGTGGCTCACAACCACCTTTAACTCTAGTTTGGGGATCCAGTATCTTTGTAGGCAGATTTGGTAAATGCCAACCCCCCCCCCCCACACACACACCAGTATTCATGGTGGTGATTAGACTATCTAAGGAAAAAGAAAAGTATGAACAATATGCCAGGCAAGGCTGTGACAAATTCCTAAGTGGTAGCAGAATCTTACTGTGAAGTTATGAATGTGTTATATAGACTCTGAAACAGACCTTAGGGTAATGCTTAGAAAGAGGCAATCTTTACGGTGAACTCGACAGAGAAGGAAGAGAGGGAACACAGACGGGCTAACTAAAGGTGTGGCCATGTCAGAATGCTGCATGTTCACAGGAGTAGCAGCTGTCCCATAGTGTTGGGGTGGAGGCAGAGGGTCAGGAGTGGAGGAACAAAGGACTCAGTGTCTTTAGGGAGTTCAGATACCTAGCTCTTCTTGGGTTCAAGGTTGTAGCTTCTCTGATGTAATTCCCATCAGAACAGGTCCTGATTTCCTCCTTGCCCCTGTAGCCTCCACCTAATTCAGTCCCCACGTTCTTTGTACCTCTGTACATAAAAAAATCCAGCCCCCGTATCTTTCTAAACTTTTAATAGACTTGCTGGTCTGTAATTCATTAACCCGTTATCTGCTGTAAAATGTGCAGAAGATGAAATGGCATACGGTTTTGTACAAAGGGTTGGATCCAGGGTACAAAGCTGAGTTTAATAAAGAGGGAACCTGGCTGGACTCTGGGAGGCAAGTAATAACAATGACTTGAGATAATAATGCATGGCATATAGTTGATGCTCAGAATTTGTTGAATAAATAATGATAAATAAATTGTAGGAACAGCTGATGACTTCTTGTGCAATGCAGTGTGGTGGATTGAATGAGAACAGCCTCCATAGGCTGAACTGTTTAGGAAGGATAAGGGGGTATGGTTGTTTGAGGTGTGTGACATTGGGGGTAGGCTTTGAGGTTTCAAAAACTGTGGACAGGCCCAGTCTCTCTGCCTCCTGTTTGTGGATCAGATTTAGGTTTTCAGCTATTGCTCTAGCAACATGTCTCCTTGTCCTTCTGCTGCCAGGCTCCCCACCATGATGGCCATGGACCCACCCACCTTCTGAAACTGTAAGTAAGCCCTCAAATGATATTTAAAATAAGTCACCATGGTCATGCTGTCTCTTCACAGCAATGGGAATGTAACTAAGACACCAGGCGAGACTCTGAATGGCCAACTAAGTAAGAAGACTTCCTAGTTGGGAAAGAGGAAGGGGAGGGAGAACAGGTAAGTGTATGCTGGCTCTCAGTACAAGTTTCAGACTGGATTTCTTCTTGAGTCAGCTGCTCCTTGTCTGGCCATTTTCTCTTTCTGGGGAGGGGAGGGAAGGTGAGGAGAAGGGGGTGACACACACACACACACACACACACAGTGACATAATGTTGATTCCTTTTCAGTCATGATAAGGTCTTAGGACCTCAGGTTACAAAATCATTCCTCCTGAAGAAGGTAGGTTGGGAGAAAGATGACAAGAAAAGCATTAGAAACACAGAGGGAGAGTTGAATTTTATTTAGGAAACACATGTTCTTGACACCAAAGGTACAAAGAAGACCTTGTAATTGCAAAGAACTTTGAATGAAGAGGGTGTAAACCCAAATTAGTCAATGCAGGGAGATGATGCTGTAGGGCCTTGTTCCTTAGGTGTGGATTTCTAGCAGCTGCTGCTTCTGGACGTTTGTTAGAATGGGCATTCCTGGCCTCCAGCCAGTGTGACTGACTGGCTCTGAATCTGTTTTAGTAAGTCTGAATGGTGTTCAAAGGCATTCTTGAGAAGTACAAGTCCAGCCCATGGGAATGAGATCTGAGGATGTATTCTATGGAAGTCAGTTCTGAGTTGTATTTTGAGGGTGCACTGGGTTGCAGATGGTTCCCAGTTGAGGGACTAATACAAAGTCAGGAACCATGAAAAAGCAAGGGCGCGTTTGGGGAAGTAGAGTTGGAAAGCAGATAACCAAGAATGCTTGCTGCTCTTCCAAAGAACCTGAGTTCAGTTAGCACCCATGTCCTACAGCTAGCTCACAACCACCTGTAACTGTGGTTGCAGGGATCTGGTGCCCTCTTCTGGCCTCCAAGAGCACTTGCACTCATGTGTACTTAACCTACACACAGAGAATGCATATTTATAATTTATAAAGGAGAGAGGGAGAACAGGGAGATGGGGGAGGGAGGAGAGAGGATTACAGGGAGAGGACAGCAGTATCCTCCACCTTCTGTTTGTGCTCCACATTAGGCAGCTTTGACTGGATCTGCTCCCTGCCTTCATTCTGGGATGACATGTTCAGATTTGCACTTATATCACTTCAGCCTGAGGAGGCTGAGGATGGGCGAGGCTGAAGGGCAGAGAAATTAATTAGGAAGCAAATGCAAGATTTTTGCAGAGAGTGATTGAGTGCCTTAACTCAGGCAGTGGCAGGGGACAGCAGGAGGGGAAAGGATGGGACAGACATTTTAGGTGGGGATACGCAGACCAAAGGGTTCAGTGGATTCAAAGTGGGGGGCGGGAGGAGCAGTGGGTCTTTAGTGGATGACACTCAACCTTCTGGCTGGGATTAGTGGGTGGTGAACAGATGAAAGAATACAGGAGGATAAACAGGTTCGAGAAGGGAAATTGTGGGTTCAGTTTTCAACATGTTCAACCCAGGTGAACAGAAAACATGTGTAGGAGGAAAAAGGGGGATCAAGAAAAGGGTGGAGAACAAGATGAGTCATCGATGGTGGAGAAGGAAAATGAGGAGGAGGAGGCAATGGCCTGCCAGATCTGGGGCTACTGTAATACACCTTGTTGTTCTTCCCGCTTTATTTCTTGCGTCCTCAGAACTTGGCTTAGCCGTGAATAGAACCCTGAAAAAAAGCAAAGAAATTAATTTCCGGCTTCCTATCTGCTTACCAATTCCTTGTTACTACCGTTTGCTCTGGGGGAAAAAAAAGTGTGTGTGTGTGTGTGTGTGTGTATGTATGTATGTAAGTGTGCGTGTGTATTTGTGTGTGTGTATGAATGTGTATATGTGTGTGCTGTGTGTGTGTCTGTGTGGTGCCTGTGTGTATGGTGTATGTGTGTCTGTGTTGTATGTGATTGTGTGTATGTATGTGTGTATGTACGTGTGTGTGGACTACTTTCTTCCTGCCCAGTCTTTTCCATGTGTGAGTTTTCACAGTTGTTTTCCTTACACCCTGACACGCAGCAGTGCTAACAGCCTATGTGTTTAGCCGCCTGTGGTCCTGGCCGCCCCGAGTCTCCGAGGAAGGAACCCCAAGCTCTTCAACCTTTTCTCCCGGGTCGCCGGTCCGCAGCCGACAAGGAGCCAGAGGAAGGCAGTCCCTGCAGGACCCCGTCGCCCTTGCCAGGTTCAAACATGGCCGGCCCGGGATCTCTGAGTTCGCCGCCCGCCCGCCCACCTTCCGCGGCCTTTCTCCCTTTCCGTCCGCCAGGTTCCACCCGGGTCAGGACCCGGGCCGCCCGACAGCGGACTCGCGCCCCGCCCCCCCGCCCGAGGGCCCGCCCCGCCCGCGTCGGCCAATCGGAGGCCGCGTTGCTCCGACTGGCGGCGCCCCGGCCCCGCCCCCAGCCTCGCTGTGGCCTGCGGCTTCCGGGCCGGTAGCGCCGCTCTCGCTGTGGGTCGCGTGGGCCGCTCGCTGTCTCGCTCGCTCGATCGCGTGCAGTCATCGTGTCGGGTCGGGTCCGGGGCGCTTGCGGCGGGCCCCGCGGCGGCCAGCATGGACTTCGAGGACGGTGAGCGGCGCGCGGGGCGGGCGAGCGGGCGGCCTGCTTGCCCGGGGTCTGTTTACCGCCTCAAGATGGCGGTGTGGCTTTGTTCTGTGGGCCGCGCGGCGATGGCGGGTCCCGGGCCGGAGCGCTCGCCTCCGGGCGCCGCCGCCCACGGGATCGGCCTCGCGGCGAGCTCCGCGGCCTCCGGGTTCCTTGCTCACGCTCGTCCGGGGTCGCTGGCAACTTCCAGGCCTTGCGCGGAGGGGCGGCCGGTCCCCACGGGGCAGCGAGCGAGCCGCTCGCTCCTCACGGCTCGTCCGGGGCTCGACCGAACCCCGACTCGGGTCGCCCCCTTACCCCCCCGGTGCAGGAGCCGGGATCTGCAAGTTCTTGCAGCACACGGGACTGTTGAGTAACTGAGCCCAGTCCAGTTAGCCTCTCGTCTGAAACAGCTCGGTGGACAGGTGCGCTTTTTGGGGTGGGGGTGGGGGGCTGGTGGACGGAGGCTCCTTAAGTTAGGGCGAGCCCTGATGCCCTTCAGGTCCAGGAAGACCGGCGTTCTTACTGAATAGATAGATGAGCGGGTCCTAAGGCCTCTCGAAACCAGTTCCCAGCCGTTCTTGTCCAGGGCTGCGAAGCAGGCTTAGTGTGTCATCTTCACATCTCACTGAGTTTACGTAGGGGTCAGTGTGGACATAAAGTGATACATAGTGTATACATAGTGACAGTGTTAGGGAAACGCGGGCGGGCTTGTAGGGTTAAGCTGAGTGTAATCTCGAAACTAGGTATCTAGGCGTCTAGGAATTATGTATTGTTTAAATAAGACTGGATAGTTTGTTGTAAGGAAGCCTCTGCCCCCCGCAGAAAAAGGTTCTTTGACGTTGACCTAAGGTGCGATCTTAGCTTGTGTTGTATCGATTGAGTTTTGATGTTTGATTGTTTGATTTGCTACAAGAAGTTGAAGGCTGTCAGATATAGGAAAGGAGGCATAGTCGCCCCTCCTCCCCTATTTTGGTGTGCTTTTCTTCGGTTGCATTGAAATAGTTCAGCTCTTCAGAATAGTGTACAGCCAGCCTTGCTGGTGTTTCGGTGTTAGGGTGGGACTCATTCTGATACAGGTGACTCTAAATGAGTTGATTTTGGCAAGAGAAAATACATTGTTTTCATACCAGAGTTTGGCGACACTGCCAACATATGTGGTATACCAGAAGTTCACCTTGTGGTGTGTCTGAGCTGAGTGGGAGGACAATGGAGCAGTGAGTCAGTAAGGAAATTAATTTTCAGTGGAGAATTGAAAAAGATGGTAAATATGGTATTTTGCTTTTCATTATGGTTATAATAAAATAATAAACAAAGTCATTTCTCAGCCACCACTGCTGCAGTTGGGCTGTAGATCTCGGTGTGTCTGAACCTGATCCTGTGTCATGTGCCAGGGCTCTGGTATATCCAGAAGCTTTCTATTAAATTCTGTTCTTCCAGTCTTTATTTGTAGATTTAAATAAAGGCTTTAACATTATGCCTTGGTGGATACAACCCACACACTCATACATATATGCATATGTGTTTTGAGACAAGCTCCCGAAGTATTTAGAGAGCAGATTAAGTGGTGAAACAGACTCTGACCTTGAAACATTTGTATCCCATATGATCAGTTCTCACTTTACATCATTTGATACATAATCTGCTTTCCCTGTTCTCTGGGTAAATTAGTACTGGTTCTCTTCTTTTGTCGGTTTTTACATTGCCATTAGTCTGTGAAGGAGTGATGTGTTTTCACAAATTGATATTTGTAATTATTTGTACCCAACTGTTTTTGGTAATTGAGTTAATGATATTTGAAAATTATGAGTAGATGAGTGTGATTTTGAGTTTTGCTAACATTGCACTAATTCCTTTCTGTTGAATGTCTTCATAGATTACATACACTCTGCTTCCAGGAATACTTACCAGGGCTTTAACGGTAAGTATCCTTTTTAATTTTAATTTTGTTGAGGGGATGTATTTTACCTTTCTTTCATATCTATAAAAGCACAAATATCAATGCAAAAAGCCAATGTTTCAGATACTGTTTTGACTCTTGATTCATAAATCTCAGTGTTAATGTCATACTGTATTATATAGTGTTTGTTTTTCTGGTGTGTGTGTGAATTCTTATGTATACACTTGCTGGGAATGCTATGCAAGTATTCTGCTACTGAGTGATAGCTCCAGTTCTGTGTATAGCATTTAAACTTGGCATCAGAAAAAGAAGTTAGGTTACATTGTCTTTATATTTGTTTTATTTCACTTAGGATTCTTTTATTTAATTTCTGCCTACATTTTGAATGAACAGTGGCAGGACACAGATAAAGTAGATTTTTGTCTTGGTTCTATGCTGCTTTTCTTGAAATGCATGTTGGCTTTGCTGTTGAGGTCATTTTTCCCTGACCAAATGAGTGATAAAGAGCTGTCCAAAGGAGCACATGAAGAGCGTAGCTGCTTGTTAGTGACAGCCTGGTGTCAGCTTGTGAAAGCTGTAGTCATAAGAGGTAGGAAGGATATGCATATTGTTTTGGTAGCTATTAGAGCAAAGGCCCTGCCATACAAGTTTGATCACAGAAAAAAAGCAGAGAGTAATTTGGAGGCTAAAACAGAACAAAACCATTATGTAAAAGACATGAGGGAGTAATGATAAATATCTTTGACTACCAGAGAAACACAAAATCCAGCTATTTTACCAGATATGTAGTCATGAAACCAAAGCAAATATATTACCAAAGACTGCCATTAAAAATACTACATATGTGTACCATGTATGTGCAGTGCTTTGGATTCCAGAGGAAGGCACGGGGTCCCTGAGACTGGAGTTACAGATGTTTGTGCAGTTTGATGTGCTAGGAAGCACACCTGGATCTTCTGCAAGTGCTATGCCAGCTCTCCAAACCCATTTTTATGCACATAGTTAGTATTTATCATCTCTGAAGATTAAGAGATACTTCAGATCAGACTTTGAGAAAAGCTCCTGTTGTATAGAAGTGTTTAGTGAATGCTGAAGAATAATATATATTTGAGGACAGTAACAGTGAAATTAACACAGGATGCTTGATTTTGTGTCAACATCATGCTAGACCGGAGACTAGAAAATAGGCTCAAGAAAACTTTAATGCATTTGAATGTAGGGAAATAATAGTGCTCATTTTAAAAACGTTAAGATGTTTCCGAATATAGGTAATTAACAGAATGTGGAAGCTATTAATAATGGGTAGAAAACAGAGTTAAAGGAAAATTAATCCAATATTTTAAACTGAAGGACATAAGACTAGTGAGTTTTGGAATGATAGAAGGCTTTACTGGAGAATTAGAATTGGTTTCTAGATGTAAGTCAAGCTTATTTCATTACTAGTATAGTACAAAATCCCTAACATTACAAGTTTTATATTCTTTCTAATATAATTCCAGTAGTGATTCTCATTTGAAGATATTGTTATAATTTCCTAGAAACATTTTCGGGTCCCTGATGGTGTGGGCAGAGTACTTTGAAGAAAAGATTTTGGCTTTTTCCCCTAGCTAATGTCCATTACTTGAAAATACTTTGAGGACTTAGTTGTCTACATTTTATAAACGAGGAACTTAACTTCAGGGGTTTTGACTTCATTTAACAATGCCTTTTTAGTACTTGCTGTGTATCCAGGTAATATCCTGAGAGCTAGGAACAGAGAACCTGTGAACAGAATGGACAAATAATCCTGTCTTTGTGGAACTAATTTCCAGTCTAAAGGATGAAACATGCAGAAAATAGTTTTAAAATAACATACTCTCTATTGAAAGATAAAAATTATTGGGGAGAAGAGATAATTTAGGGAGGAGAAAGACAGACAAACTGTATTTGTGCGTTGTGATTGTAGAGTCACCGGCTCAAGAAAAAGATAACATTTGAGTATAGAATTAAAGGAGGTGATGATGCAAGCCGTGAGGCACTTGGACAAAGAATGTAATAGACATTAGTGAATGCTAACAGATTCGTTGCTTCCAAGTGAAGCCATGTTGCTTGCCTTGGGTTTTCTCTTCCTTCTAAAATAAAGTAGAAGGCACTGATGCAGATTTTCTCCACACCTTGTTTTGGGAAGGATTTTTGTTTCCAGTGCCTCCTGCGTTTTCCTTCTTTCATACCCTATTTTTTTTTTTTTTAATTTAATTTATTATTTTACATGTTGATCCCAGTTCCCTCTCCCTCCCTCCCTCTCTCCTTCCGTTTTACTCTCTCTGCCCCCTCACATGCACCCTGACCACCCTCCCCTCCCATCCCCTCTCCCCAATTCCACATGTAGGGGAATGTCATCCAGGTGGGGTCATGTAGATCTGACAGGTCATGTGAAGTAGGGACTAGGACGTCTCTCCTCTCTCTAGATTAAGGCAGTTATCCCTCCATGGGGGATGTGTTCGTAAAGTCCTTTTGTGCACCAGGAATACATCCTGGTTCCACTGTCTGAGGTCCCTTAGACTGCTCAGTCCTTCTGGCTGAGACCCATGTTCAGGGGGTCTGAGTTAGTCCCATGCTGGATTCCCAGCTATCAGTCTGGGGGCCGTTAGCTCCTCCTTGTTCAGGTCAGCTGTCTCTATGTGTTTCTGCAACCTGGTCTTGTCGTCTTTGTCTGCATCTGGGTTCTAGCTCGACACAGTGTTTAGGTATGGGTGTTTGCTTCTGTTTCCAACAGGTATTAGATGGGAGCTTCATGGATAATTGAGTCAGGGTAGGAATAGAAGATGAGAGAGAGAGAGAGGGAGAGAATAAAAGAGGGAGCCAATATTGGTTTGAAGAGAAAACTGAACCTAAAGAAAGGTCTAGAGACCTACAAGACTGCCGCCAACTAACAATTTGAGCAACCGTGAAAGGCTACCATAAATGCCTTTCCTGGATAGTGAGATCAACAACTCTCATACCCTTCTTATGTAAATGGCAGATGGAAATGGGGAACATCATTGGTAGAGGGAAATGCTTGAGCGAAGGAGAGCAGGACTGAGAATACTGTGCCTCAAAGAGAGTAAGGAAGACTGGTTTGACCAGAACAGGTTATTTTTGCTGAGCAGTGTGAAGATAAGGCTAGAGAGGTGAGGTATAGCCAGAAGGCATTGAAAAATCAGAGGCAATCAGTTTATGGATAAGAATCAATGAAAATGAAGACCTGGAAGAGGTGTGTTAGTAAGCACAGCAGATTCAAGGGAGGAGCATTCCTGGTAGAGGCAATAGGAAGTGGAAAATACATGGATGTGCATCTGTTGAAACAGCAAGGAGCCTCTTGTCAGTGGGGTTAAGAGGTGATAGGGCAGAGTATATTCTTTCTCAACCTGGGCACTGCTGCCGCTTTGGATTAGCTAATGTTACAGATGATTTGTCTCTATCTGTCTGCTCTGTGCATTCATGGCAGAATGTTTAGCAGCACCCTTGATCCCTATGTGGTAGTACTTCCTGCCTAGTTGTGACAACTAGAAATATTGATGATAGACATTGTAGTGCTCTTTGGTGGGGATAGAGGAAGGAGGGAGGTAGTGTGTGGGAGAGTTGTTTCTGGTTAAGAACTAGTTGGGACTGGAGAGATGGCTCAGTGGGTGAGGGCACTTGCTGTGCAAGCACGAGGACCTGAGTTTGAATGCCCATCACCAAGTAAAAGGCAGGCACGGCTACACATGCACCTGTAACTCCAGTGCTGTGTGGGGTGGAAACAGGATCACTGGGACTTGCTGGCTGTCAGCCTAACTCTAAGTTTCAGTTAGAGACCTTGTCTCCAGGGAATGAAGCAAAGTCTGATAAAACAACACCTGACTTCATCCTCTGGTGTCTATATGTGTGCACAGTTGTGTGCACCTACACACACACACAGAGAGAGGGGGGGGAGGGAAGCATTAGTAAAGGATCGAATAGGTTATTGTAAGGGCAGGTTTGTTTTTCTGAGTAAAGTATTTTCTCAATAGTACAGAGATACTGTCCTTGTTTACATTTCAAAAATGATTTTAAAGTTAATTTTGGTAGCCTGGAAGAAAAATTATTTACAGAACTTATTTTCCTATAAAATCCATGATACTGTGTGGCTGGGATCTCTGTCTCTATGAATAAGTGAGAGCTGCTGTGATGGGGAAACTCTGGTGGGGTCTGCACAGCACCAGACCTGCCAGTACTCACGATACTTGTCACTTTGTGATAACCACTACTAACTCAGAAACTAGCAGAAACAACTAAGCCTTCTGCTGTCTGCATCTGGCTATAGTTAATGTTGAGGTTACTTTCTACGGGAGGCCTTGCAGGGACTTAATGTTGATAAGGTTGTTTTTCTCCTCTGTGTGAGAAGTAGTGTATCTGATACCTCATGATTTCAAACAAACGATTGACTATGCATTAATGAATTATGCAGACTTTCCAAATAGAGATAGGTTTTAGTGTACAATATAAGTACCATACTAATGCTGTCAACTGCTTAGGAAACTTTTTAAGTGTTGGAAACTGTGAGGTTGACTGTCAGAAAATTTTTTAGGAATTAGCAGCAAATAGTTTTTTTCTTTGTAGCAACAGTTTCACTGCATTTGGGAGAAAATGTGTGCTAAATGCCCATGTCTAAAAACCATGGGTTTGTAAAATATATTTTATTCTTTGACATTTCATACATGATGCAAATGTATTATTATATTCATCCCATTGTGCTTTCTAATTTTTTAATCTCTGTGCCCCTTGTGTTTTCATGTCTTTTCTGTGACCCAGTGAGGTTAACTAGGTTTGCATGACTGAGCATGAGCAACTTACTAGTGGATAGGTACATTGAAGAAGAGTGATTCCCTGTCCCTTAGCAGCCAGTAGCTCCTCCGCCTGCTTCATGAATCCATCTCCAGTCCATGGTGGACGACTGACAAGTTCAGTCTTGTGTGGATAAGCACAGCTGCTATGAGGTGATACATGCAGCTGCTAAGTCATATCACAGAGGACAGCATTTCACAGTGTCCTCCTGCACTTAGGCTCTTAGAGTCTTGCTGCCTTGTCTTTCACAGTGGTCCCAGAGCCTTGGAGGGGATGACATTGATGTCCTTTACAGGGTTGGGCATCAATGGTTATTTTTGCTCAGAACTTTGACTACTGCCCACTATAAAAAGAAGCTTATTTGACAAACACTGTGAGAGCAGCATTATCCTATGAATATAAACATAAATATTTAGGAGTTTGCACTGAGTCCATATAATAAAACCACAGGAAGCAATAGGTTCCAAGGGCATGTTACTTTCTCAGCCATGGGCTTTTGACCATGAAAACCATAGTGTTTGTCTTCCAGTCTTCCTACTGCAAAGTGTTCTATATAAGTAGTTAATTTGATTCATAAACCAAACATGGCACAGTGACTTTTCTTGGAGAGAACTGTGGTCCTTTGGCTTGTGGCACAGCTGCTTTATGTGCATTTTGTTTTATTACAGTGAGTAATGAAAAGATGTAATTAAATCAAAGGCCAGGACTTACTACAATTATTAATTGCTCTGTCAAGGGCATTCTTAAACAAAGGTGATATAAATTTGTTGTTTTTCACTGAGTATGTGATGTATGTATGTATGTATGTATGTATGTATGTATGTATATGTATATAATTATTGCTAGATTAGTCTGGGGCTTCATACTTCCTTGATTTGTACTAAAATGCCAGACATTTTGTGAGCAATTAGTACAATTAGTACAATTAGTATATTTACATCATAGTATACTTAGAGCAAAAAAAAAAAACCCTCCATAAAGTTATATATTATCTTTTTTTTAATTCTGTAATACTAAGTTCCAAATACAAGACATTATAGTAGTAGCCTTACAGTCCACTAAATATGCTTACATTCAAAGTATTATCTATTTATTTATTTATTTATATTTATGTATTTTTTTTGTTTTCCAAGGCAGGGTTTCTCTGTATTGCTTTTGGAGTCCTAGAACTCGCTCTGTAGACCAGGCTGGCCTCAAAACTCACAGAGATCTGCCTGCCTCTGCCTCCTGAGTATTGGGATTAAAGGCACCACCAACGCCCAGCTACTGAAAATATTTTTAATGTAGAATTTTGTAGTTACTAGTTTATTTTTCTTTGAAATATAAAGCTTTGTTAACAAATAATATTTTTCAATAGATTATTGTTATTTTTAATCTTTAGTATTGAGTTAGAATGTTAGTACAAATTATTGCTTTAGATAATCAGTGTGAATATGTTGTTTCTAATGGAAATTCTTGTGAAGAAATGGTGTATTTGACTCATAATCTCTCTCGTGTTGACTTTTTCAGGAATGGATCGTGATTATGGCCCTGGATCTTACGGAGGTCTGACATTCCAGGATATTTATCTAAAAATTCTTCTTTTGAGTGCCAGTAAAGGTGAGCATCATTTAATTTTTTTCTTTTTAAACTCTTATAGGGCTGGATCGTGACTATGGCCATGGATCCTATGGGGGTCAAAGATCCATGGACTCCTACCTAAGCCAGTCCTATGGCATGGACAATCACAGTGGTGGTGGTGGGGGTAGCAGGTAAATTGCTTAATCACTTGGCCAAATAATTAGAACTATAAGATTCTGGATGTATTAAGTATTCCTTAGTCTTTTATGATACTAGAACTTTGCTGTTTGGTACTGAATCACCTTAAATATTTAAAGTTGCTAATTAATGGGTATAGAAATTTTCTTAGTCTCATTGGCAAACATTATTTTCGGAGGACACCACTTATCTTTTATTTCAGTGTAGTAGAAATACTTTTAACAGTGGATACTTTAAAAAGAAAAAAAAACTTCTTTTGTTTTAATTTCTTACCAGTCAAAATGTCCTGATCAAATGACATAAAATGTTATTGGAAGTACTTATTTGTGAATTATTTTTATTAATTGTTGAAAAGATTTTTTTTCTAATGTGGACACTATGTTACAGCAAAATAAACTGCCTAGAATGGCTTTAGCTGAACCAGCCAACAGCTTTCAATTTTTAAGAAATATTTACTATAGATTTTTACTTGTGTAATTTTAAAGCAAGTTTGAAGAGCATATTGTAACAGTAGACATGTTCTTTAAATCATGTCCAGGTTGTTTATGGCAGCTACTGCTTACATCCAAAACATGTGCTTAAAAGTAGGGCCATGGACACTACACCATTAACTACTGTCTAGACTGTGTCTATTGTACTGTTGATATTCTTTGAGAGTTAAATCTAATAATTAAACAACTACAGGTAGGATTGATCATGTTTGATAACCTTAAAGGGGTCTGTTTTTTGAGATATAAAACTTCCTTCTAAATACAAAGTAAAAGTTAGGCATTTAGGGTGCTGTCCTTCATAAACTGAAGGACCTGGGTTCTTTAATAATGGACTTGAGCAGTGCTTGCTTCTTTGTGCTACAAGTGTGTCACTGTGGTTTACCGTAGAGTACAATCATGAAAACAGCTAATTACTGTCCTGATGTAATGCTTTGAAGTGCGAAGTTGGGAGGAATAGTATTTATATGGCTATAGGCTTCAGAAGTAAATAGTATCTTCTATTGAGTGACCTGTAAATCACTGACTAATGTAACATCATTTAAATGTCTTAGTACATCAGTTATTGCCCTCTTACATTGTAAGTGTATTGTGCATAAACTATTTCTGTAGTTGTTATCATTCATCTCTTGTGTAATTGTGAGCTTTTTAAAAACTGTTGTAAGATAATAAGCAACTTCGGTAATCCATGCTTTGGATTTGTGATAAGTAAAATGATTTTTTTTTTTTTTCTGTTGAGACAATGTGCTTACCTGTTAGAGTAGTTTTTAATGTGATTATTTCCTGATAGGAAATGCTTTTTCAAATAATCGAAGGCATTATAAAATGTGTTCTTTCCCATCTGCTTTGAATATTCATATGTAGAGGGTATATGTTGGTGGTCTTTTGTGTTCTATTTTACATGTTTATTCTTCTAGACTTGTTTGATTTACCAGTCTATCAGTGTTTAGGATTGGCCTTGGCTGAAGTTTGGCAGAATGTCAAACTTTATTATCTTTATAATTCTCAGCTTTGATTATTGTAGACACAATGAGGCAGTTTTGTAATAGAATATTGAGGTGCAAAGGATCACTCAGTATCACAAAGACCCCCCCCCCCATCTATGCAGTCTTTGTGTCCCCAGAAAGTCAAAATATTGTAAATGTTTTGTAATTTTCATATTAGGCAAGGATTCAAAAACGTTTAATTAGTTGGTGAACTTTAGCAAATACCTTTCCTAAGACTAGGGCTGGGCTTTAATTATTCGTCAGACAAATCTTACTGAAATAAAATGGAAAAGCTGCTAAAAAGCAGTTTAAAGCTAAGGTTAATTAAACTCAATTCATAGTTAGAAACTGACTCAGATAGCTTTCTGTCTGGTCTCATGTTGAACTGCCCAGCCCTAGTCAAGTGTGAGCAGAAGCAGTGCTATGCAAACCACTCTGTTATAAATGAATTTTAGTTGATAAATGTCATCTGATAACTTGTCTTTTGAATTGTCTAACATTAGTAAGCTTACTTTTGTTTTTTCCCTTACTGTGCAACTTTTCCAGGTTTGGACCTTATGAGTCTTACGACTCCAGGTCTTCTCTGGGTGGGCGAGATCTGTACAGATCTGGCTATGGTTTTAATGAACCCGAACAAAGCCGCTTCGGAGGTAGTTATGGTGGTCGATTTGAGAGCTCCTACCGGAATAGCCTTGACTCTTTCGGAGGTAGAAACCAGGGCGGGTCTAGCTGGGAAGAACCTTACTCCCGTTCAAAATTGAGGCCTGGGTTTGTGGAGGACAGAGGAAGAGAGAGTTACTCTTCCCACAGCAGCTTTTCTTCGCCCCACATGAAGCCTGCACCTGCAGGCTCTCGGGGCAGAGGAACGCCTGCTTACCCTGAAAGTGCGTTTGGAAGCAGACACTATGATGCTTTTGGAGGACCATCAACAGGCAGAGGCCGAGGCCGAGGAGTAAGTACAACAGAATCTTTTCAGATTCTTTTCAATAGTCACTCTTTTAAACCCTTTCAAGACCATGGTTTTCAAGAAGGAACACTGTCCCAGTGTGCTTTAAGTAGAGGCTGAGTCATCAAGTTTAGGTTGGCTGCAAAAGTTTTCCAACACCTCAGAACATAAGTTGCAGTGTGAGATGATTATTCATGAAGTTATGTCAAATCTCCCTTTATGAAAAAGGTGAGGCTATTAGGTTTGGTCTAAAAGGGCTTAAAAGGAGTTGCATTTTTCCTTGTAAACACTAGCAATTTTGCTGGTGAGATAGCTGTTGGATTATTGTAAAACCCTTTTTGAGTTTTGAGTAGGTTAAAGGTGCAATGTATAGTAAAATATTTACCTTTTATTAGTAAACTCTAGCATATAGAATACCTTCAAAGTTCCACATTTCCTGTTAAACACACGAGAGATTAAGTCAGTGATAGGTTAGGATAGCTTAGCCATGTTTACAGGATGAAGAAGTTAACATAAGTAACAGATGGTAGAACGATTTGTGCTCAGTGTTATTTTGCTAACTTGCTCTCTTATCTATTGGTGATTGTTTTATTTCCCCTAACTCTAACGAGAAAGAGTCTCTTACTTATGTATATATTTATGGTTGCTTCCTAGGAAGTAATATTTTGCAAGTTACTGCCTAACTGGATAAATACATTAGTCTATAGGTGTTTAATTTTGGGACATACATTGTAACAATTATGCTTTGTGGTCTTGGGTAACCAGGTACATTTTTACCTAGTAAAATAATCATAGATTATGGGATTATGTAGTTTGGTCATACAAATATGAATGCATATTTATATTTTTGTAATATAAGATGTTTTTTCAAAGTCAGTTGTGTTTACTCTTCTTGTAGAAGAAAGTATTCTGATAAAAACTGTAGTAGGCATGTGGTTTGACTGTTCATTAGCCTTTAGTCATCAGTGTAGTGTCTTACTTGTGTAGAAGTTTTGCATATTTAATAGTCACTCTTTACTTACATAAAATGCATTGCACCTTTAATTTTTATAAACTACATGGAAACACTTATGTAAATCTCCTAGATTAGATAGGTATTTCTAATCATACTAAAGTGTAAGCAGCAGTGTTGGTCAACCATACTTGATGATTGTAGGCTTATTAAAAGTAGTTGGAGCAGTAGGCTTTGGGTTTTGGAATTGAAAATACATTCTAGTTTGAAAATTTGGAAACATTGAACTTCTTCCATGCTGTATAATATTTTGGGCAAAGGTTTTTTTCTTAATGAGGACTCAGGTATCAATTTTGTTTTCTTGATGTAAAACTGAGTATTCTGTACTTTGTATTTCCCATTCTAGTCTGAGTGGACTTCTCTTTCCTTCTGTTAGCCATGTAGATGAACTGGTAGGATCTTCATTTAAATCTTCACTTGTACAATTCCCATTGGGTCCTTCTCTTCAGATTACTCCTCAGTCTTAACCTTCTAAAAGTAAGATTAGCAGAATAATTTCTATGGACATGACCTCTTGGTATAGTGCATTTTGTTAATGACAAGAGAAGAGGAAGGGACACAGAGTCGTTTGCTCTTCATCTGTAAGCCTGCTTGTTGGGGTTTGGGATTATAATGTCTCTTTAGGTAAGAATGTGAATGGAATGTCAGATGCAGTTCTTTTTCTGAAGTGTCTTGGAAGTTGATGCATGGTTATGCTTTAACTCTCCTATTTCATACAATGCTCCATCTCGCCTTCTCATTCCCATTTGCAACAGGGAGAAATCCTAAATGATTTCTGGGTCTTTTTCACTTTATGCTACAAATATGATCATCATTGTGTATCTTAGTTTTAAGCAAGGTTTTAGTAAAATAAAAGATTTCTTTTAAGGTCTTTGATGGGAAAACATCAAGTAGGAACTCTGAAGAGTTGTACAAGTGGTGACCCTCTGACTGGCACATGGTGTTTATGATCTCACATAATTCTGAATTGTAAAATTTTAAAAAATAGAACATAGCCACCTTTGTAATACTGGAAATACTAATTTATTGGTTTGAGCTCATGTAATAATTTATAAATTTTTTTATATGTGCTTTCTTAGAGAGGACATGTAAAATTCAGTTTAAGTTCTTTCAGTTAAGAACTTTCAGGTGAAAACTAGTAACTAGATAACAGAAATTTTTATTAATCCATATCTTATTTTGACATTATGCTAATGTTTCTCGATTTCACAAATTTACAGCATATGGGTGATTTTGGAAGCATTCATAGACCTGGAATTATTGTTGACTATCAAAACAAATCCACCAATGTGACGATTGCTACTACAAGAGGAATAAAACGAAAAATGATGCAAATATTTAATAAGCCCGGGGGAGCCTTTATCAAGAAACCTAAGCTAGCAAAACCTTTGGAGAAGATGAACCTCAGCAAATCACCTGGTGAGTGAGACTGTTGCTGTGACACAGGGCACTTTACAGTTTAGCACATTGACTTGCGATCATAAAAGTGCATGATAATTGTAACTGAGAATTAGATCTGTGGATCCCCTATGTAGTAATTAGTCAGTCGTTAACTATTTAATGCATTTTTTGTATGTACGTATGCATGTATGTATGTGGGCATGTGCTTGCTATGGTATGCACATGGAAGGTCAGAGAACAACTTAAGGGAATTACTTCTGTCATTCTACTGTTTAGGACCCAGGATTGAACTCAGGTCATTAGGCTTGATGGCAGGTTCCTTTCCTTGCTGATCCAGCTTGCCAGCCCCCAAATGTACTTTTAAAGTGAATATACAGTGGTTCATTTTATTTTTCTTTAATTTTGTGTCGTGTAGCCTTAATCTACCACCCCCCAACGCACACACACTATATAGCCCTGGGTAGCCCAGAACTTGCTATGTAGATCAGGTGGCCTTGAACTCACAGAGATCCGTTTGTCTTCTAAGTGATGGGGTTAAAGGCATGTTCCACTACACCCAGCAAAATGTATTTTTAAAAGTTTTTGCAGATGGTTTTGATTCACACCCCTTTCTTGGATGCTATATTTATTATTGGAGGGGTGTATGTCATAATATATAGAATTGTCTATAAGGACAATGAAAGAACATTTTTTTTAGTCCTTACCATTAGGTAAAGCTGTTTGCTCTAGAAAATTAGTTTGGCTTTAGTCTTTTGGAAATTATATCTCTTAGATAGAATTATATTTCTGTTAATACAGAGTGTTGCAAAGTCCAAGCCCATCTTAAGATGGGTATAAGATAGTTTACGATAGTACTGAGAGCAGTGGCACACCGAGTAATGAGCTTAAAAATGCAAAACAGTGGAAAAGGAAGTCTAAATTAAAGGGAAGGCTAGATGAGATTGGGAGGCATGTTGTCCAGAATGTATTAGTTCCTAAATTCAGATTACAGACTTAGCATAGCTCTCAGGATTTGGACTAACTAGGGACTCACTCTTCACAATTGCAGTCTTACTCCAAGGATAATGAAGACAAAGCGGTCCTGACACATGACTGACATACATGACATACATGATTCTGTGGGAAAGAGCTGAGGATGAGGAGAGGAGCCAGGCATGATCCACTGATTTCAACAAGGCCGCTGGAACTATTTAGAGTAGGAGAGAACAGTCTTTGTGCAAGTGTTTGAGCTAGCTGACTAGCCTCATACAAAGGTTACCTTGCAAGAACTGCTTCTAATAACAAATCTCTAGGGACCAAAGGCATGAGAAACAAATTGTAAAAGGTGTTCTTAATTGGTCTAAGTAATAAAAACCTGGACTCAGATATAGAGGAAAATGCTGAGAGATCAGAGAGAAGGAGCAAGCCACAGCCACACCTTACCTTCTTAGCATCTCAGCAGCCTCTTTATATCCTGTTTCCGTCCAGCTATCTCACTTTCTGTCTATCTATGGTTGGCTATTGGCAAGCTCCATTCTCTGACCTTCAGACAGGCCTTATTTATACAAGCAAGATATCAGCACAACAAATAAAAATGAGTAAAACAGATTTTCATCAAAATTTAAAACTCTTGTGCTTCAAAGGCCCCCAGTAGTAGAAAGTGAAAACATGTGGTGTTGTACACCTGTAATCTCAGCACTTGGGAGCCTGAGGCTGGACAGTGAATTTGAAGTCAACTTAGGGTAGATAAAACTCTGCTTCTTCTACCCTCACAAAATGTTAAAAACTTTTTTGCAGTCTGTGTATCTGAGAAAGGAATTGTATCCAGGCTATAGAAAGAACTTTAACTCGCTAATATAAAGACATAAATAACTGAAAACAGGTAAGGAATATATGCAAAATTTCTTCAAAAATACATATAGTCAATTAGTATATGTAAAGCTTATCAAAAGTCACTTATCAGATAAATGTACAGGTAGATGCACCATGTCTTCAGGAATGGCTAGAATAAAAACGATTGCTGGCAAGTCTTAGCAAGTCTGTGGAGAAATTGCTTTAGGAAAAGAAAAAAAAAAAAAAAAAAAAAAAAAAACTAATTGATTTACTGAGCGAGAACACCTGGAAGTTATAGGACAACTTGAAGTTGGTTCTTTCTACGTTTATGTGGGTTCTAAGGATAAATTCAAGTTGCCAGACTTGCAGAACAAATATTTCATCTGCTGAGCCATTTCACTACTTCCTTCCCCTCCTCTGTCTTGGAGATGTGGTCATGCTATAGTCCTGGCTGGCTTAGTATTTGACTATATAGTCTGAGATGGCTTCTAGTTCAGTGTGGTTGTCTTAGGGTTTCTGTTGCTGTGAAGAGACACCATGTGGAACATGAATAATTAAAATCCCAGGGATAGATATTGGGGTTCAAGGTGAAAATCAGAAATACAAGCAGCCAAACTATAGAGATTTCTCACCTCTACTAATGTTCAGACTGAATGGGCCAATTGTGTTTTCTGATTGCATCTCCAAAATGCACTGCCCCCTCAGACTGCAGTCCAAGACCATTGCCTCTCTTTCATGTGTCTTGAGACTGAATCTCACACCAGACCCTTTAGTTCTTCCTTTGCTGGGATTAAAGGTGTGGGATCCCAAGTGCTGGGATCATCTTCGTGTGAGCTGTTTCTCTTTAAGACTGGATCACTTTCGTGTAGCTCATTGTGGCCTTGAACATACAGAGATCTATCTGCCTGTCTTCTGAGTCCTGGAATTAAAGGTGTGTTTCACCACCACCTAGCTCCATGGCTACTGGGATTAAAGGTGTGTATCACCATTGCCTGACCTTTATGGCTTGTGGCTAGCTTTGCTTTCTGAACCCTCAGGCAAGCTTTAACAAATCATAAATAATATATCACTACAGCCACAACCATCACAATTCTTATAAAGAAAACATTTAATTGGTGTGGCTTGCTTACAGTTTCAGCGGTTCAGTCCATTATCTTCTTGATGGAGCATGGCAGCCTGCAGGCAGACATGGTGCTAGCGAAGGAACTGAGAGTGCTACATCTTGCAGGCAACAGGAAGTGGATTGACCCGGTTTTGGTGGTATCCTGAGTTTAGGAAGCATCATCCCCCTACTCCCCAGTGACACACTTCCTCCAACATACCCACTTCAACAAAGCCACACCTCCTAGTAGTGCCACTCCCTATGAGCTTATGGGGCCATTTACATTCAGATCACCACAGTAGTCAAGCTAGCTTTGGCGGCACGTATAGCAACTTGACAGTTCTTCTGCTTAGTTCCTGTTCATGGAATTACAGGCATTTACCAGTGTGCCTGGTAGCTAGTGGAAAAATTTCTATAGTATTGTAAACATATGAACAGGGCATGAACTTTGAAAAGGGTATGACATTCCTCAGATGATTAAACATTCATTCCTAGATATATACCTAGAAAAAAAGCTAGCAGTCTACACAAAAATATATATAGTTATGTGCTGAACAGTGTTTTGGCCAGTGATGGCTTGCATATACAGTAGTATATACCATATATCTTAAATGTATTGTAGACTGTATCAGCTAGGTTTGTATGTGTATATTCTGTTGTTCACACAACAAGTTATCTATGTTTTTTCTAGAAAGCTCCACTGTTAAGTGAATACAACACGTGTGTGTGTGTATGTGTATGTATGTGTGTGTTTATAAAAGCATCTATCAGTAGTCAAAAAAAGATAAATCCCAGATATCAATCAAGGGATGAATGGATAAAATGTGGTCTGTCCATATTATGTGGTGTGCTATAATATAACATTTAGCTATAAAATAAAATAAAATGAAGTAAGTATACACGTTAACTTGAATGAACCTTGAAAAGATGATAAATGAAAGAAACCAGTGACAGAAGTCCATATTGCATGATGGTATTCTTAGAGATGTCCACAATAGGAAAATCTGTAGAGACAGCATTTTGGTCTGTGGAGTGGGAATTTGGGACATGAAAGGTGATAAAGGTTTCTTTTTGGGCCAGTAAATGTGTTCTAAAGTTGATTGTGATGTTGCGTGTGTCTGGGGGTAATAATGACCATTGGTTTGGTGCACATTATGGTTTTCATTTTCAAATTGGTGCTTCTTTTTGGATGATACACTTTAAATGAGTTAATTGCACCTTAGAAGGACAAAGTTTTGAAGAGCCAGTCTGTTCCCCAGGCTTAACAGGGAGGAAGGGGATGTGACTTGTATTCTTTAGCATTGTGATATATATTCTAAATTAGGTAAAGTATGTTTGAACAGATTAGATTAGGACAAGAATGTAAATAAAAAAGCTAAGGAAATGTCTGTTAGCGTTTTTCTGAGAAAGCATCAAATTTCATGTGTTTTTTGGCTATATACTGAGTTAGTTTTTTTCATATTCATTTTGCTTTGATGATTTCTCTTTTTGATTGTTCTAAGTAAATGGTATTACAATCCTCTACCCCTAATAAAGTTTATTTTCTTTAGCATCTATCTTATGCAAGTGCCTGACTGAATTGGAGCTGAAGAAGATTTGGATAATTACAATGAAGGACTATTTTTAAATTGTTTTGGTTGAAAAGTTTATAGTTTTCTTAAGTTTAGTTTGAAGAATAAAACTTTGTGTTCCAGTAAGCTACTTATTGTGTATTCTCGTTGAAGGAATTGCTTTAAAGAAAAGTGATGATAGTAAGAATTCTTCCCAAAAGAATAGTTTCTAATTAAATAGGTTTTAATTTAAAAATTTGTAATATTGACAGTATTTTTTGTTTGTTTGTTTTTGTTTTTACATTTTATCTCCATATAAGTTAAGGAGTATTAAGTGTATACAATTTGACAAAAACACATTTTTTAAATTGTGTTTTCTTTCTTGGGTTGCCTTATTTTAAATTTTATTTAACTATAGTTTTTTAAATGTATGCATGTATACCTGTAACCAGAAGAAAGCATCAGATCCTATTACAGATGGTTGTGAGCCACCATGTGACTGCTGGGAATTGAACTCAGGACCTCTGGAAGAGCAGCCAGGGCTCTTAACCCCT